AGCTCCCCATGGGGCCACGAAACGCTGTACTGGGTGGTGCGTGACGCATGCGGGCGATCATACTGGGGCCGTCTGTGGAGCTCCCTATGGGGCCACGAAACGCTGTACTGGGTGCTGCGTGACGCATGCGGACGGTCCCATTGGGGCCGTCTGTGGAGCTCCCCATGGGGCCACGAAACGCTGTACTGGGTGGTGCGTCACGCATGCGGGCGGTCCCCTTGGGACCTTCGGTGAAGCTCCCTATGGGGCCACGAAACGTGTGAGGGGTGTGCTAAAGTGAGGGGGGGTAACGGGCGGAGGGAGGAGGAAGGGGAGGAGGAAGAAGAGGAGGAGAACACGGGGCGCCGTCTCTTTAAAACGAGGACCCAACACCACAGGATGGCTGGAAAAAAAACGCCTGGGGCGTGGTCCTGTGGGGCGTTCCTTCCCTGCAGGGGGCCATTACCCTGGGGCGCGGTCACCCTATGCCGCGAGGGCTGGGGCTGGGTGGCTGACCGTGGTACTCAACCCACGGGGTTGCCCTACCCAGTGAAAGAAAGGCCGGAAGGTCACATAGGGGAGGCGGCCGTGGGATTCTCCGTCGCCGCCGAGCTCACCCAGCTCATGGGGAGGTGGCCAAAGTGTCGCCGACAGGCACCGCATGGTCACTGCCTGTAATTCGGTGCACGCTGGGGGACTTCCCGGCGCCCATCGGCACCTTCCATGCTGGCGGCGGCAGCTTCGTTCTGTGTTATCGACGCACGGCGGGCCGGGAGCTGTGGGGCTGATGGAGGTCCCCTCGCATCGTCCACTGCGACACGGAGTAATGCGTGGAGTGGTGGGTTAATTCGATTCAGCTGGTGGCCACACGTGTCCGGGGGCCCATCTGACCCGTATTCATCGTTCCCCACGCATGCAGTCACCAGCATTGCATGCCAGCCCGCCGAGCGAGCTGCGAAGAGTTGGAAAAAACAGATGGTCCAAAATAATCAAAAAATCATCCCCCGGCTATTTGCTCGACTATTTTTCTGTAGAGGGACGTGCCCGACTTGACCCATCCACCCCTTTCCCCTCCCCATCCCTGTCCTCGGCACTGCGCGTGTTAGGCGACGGGCAGCAGCTTGCCCCCATACATGGGCCAGGGTGGCCGCGGCAAGGCCCGGCGGCGCCACCTCCACGAGTCCCCGAAGGCGCTCGAGCCGGGAGAGAGCAGGGGAGGAGGGGAGGAGGCGACTTCGGATGTCATAATGAAGGGGGTGAGCTCCGACTTGGGGGGGGGTCTGATTTGCGCTGACCTGGAGAGTTCCAGGGGGTCTGGGCGGCAAAAGGCCGCGGGGAACCCATCGCATCGACGATCTCTCGAGAGGGGTGTCGAAATCGATGGGCCCCCCAGGGGGGTAAGGACCACAGCTCCCCCAGTTGTGGCTGGCCTATCTGGGGGTGGGGGTGCTCTGACATTACCCGTCTGGGAGAGCTGCGACCCCCTCCCTTATGCAACGAAGTGTGAAGCACGTTGCATCTTCAATAGAGGACAGAGAAATATGCATATCCACCGACTCTGGCCAGGCCGATCCGGAGCCCAGGATCGGTACATACGCCCTCCTACCTTGGCTAGGAAGGTATATGCACCGATCCTGGGTCAAGGATGGGCCTTGCCAGGATCGGTGCATGTTCTTAGTTTCCTTCGCCCGATTGAAGGGACCCTCTTTGTCCAACCGCGCCACAGTCAGCGCCGAATCAGCCTCAAATGCACGTCGGATCCGCCCCGAATCCTCGTCGAATCCTCGTCGAATCCGGGTCGGACAGGGAACGAAAACAAAAGATTGCAGGGCAGTCTCCCGAAGATGCAACGCAAAGGAGGGCGAGGGCGAGGGCGAAGAGACGTGGGAGCAGATCGTGGGACAACTTCGAATGAAAACAGCAAGCGCTCCTGAATTGATGCGTCGTAGACTCAGCAGCAGAAATCCTTGAAAAACGAACGTGCCGGAAGAATGTTGGAAAGATGCTGGCAGGGCCTCCCAGGAGGCATCCTGCCCAGCAATGAAAGACTTCCCAACGCCCGAACGGCGCCGCACACACAGCCGCCAGGACCCCCCATAGGGAGATAGTCTGGACCCTGGGGCTGTGACTGGCTTTCTGGCGCGTTCGCGGGCATAGGGCAAAGGGCCCTGGTAGGGCTCCCAAAACGATGCTGCCCATCAGGCAGCGGTTTCCCAGCTGATCCCGCTGGAGGCTTCCTCCCTGTTCCACTCACCCAGTGGGCCTCGCCCCACAGGGTCACACCCCACAGGGCAACACGGAGCACATAACTGTTGGCCATGAGGACCCGCAAGGGATGGGCAAGAGCACTGGGCCTTGTCCAAGGCACGCCGCAGCCGCCCATCCGAGGGGGAGCTCGCACCATGCTCGAACAGAGGAGACAGAAATGGCTACAAGCTTTTTGGGTGATCCACCGAGTGCGTGCCGCTAATCAGGCTGAAACGCACGTGAGACCGCGGTTGCTGAGCACCCTAATTGCCAAGAGATGCGAGAATGGCCTCGAAGACCCTGGCCAGTCAAGCAGACAGTATCACGACTCTTGACCTGCGTTGGGATACTCGCTGTTTGCCTGGCCAAAGCCTTCTTGACTGTTCATAGCATGACTGCCTTCTCATCCTACAACTTCACCTCCATCTCCCTCTCGTCGTCCACCTCCGCCTCCGCCTCCTCCTCCTCTTCCTCCTCCTCCGCCTCATCCAGCTCCTCCTCGTGATCATCAGCATCAGCATTACAATTACCATAAGCATAGACATCACCACCACCATCCTCATCATCAGCATCACCATCATCATCCTAAACAACAACAACAACAACAACAGCAGCAGCAGCAGCAACAACAACAACAACAACAACAACAACAACAACAACAACAACAACAACACCAACACCAACAACAACAACAACAGCAGCAGCAGCAGCAGCAGCAACAACAACAACAACAACAACAACAACAACAACAACAACAACAACAACAACAACAACAACAACAACAACAACAACAACGATAACAACAACAACGACAACGACAACGACAACGACAACGACAGCAACGACGACAACAGCAACAACAGCCACCACCACAACCACAACTACAGCAGCAGCAACAACAACAGCAGCATCATCAGCATCATCATAAACAGCACCACCATCATCAACATCATCAGCATCATGTTCGGCAGCATCAGCATCAACATCATCAACATCGCCGTCAACATCATCAACAGCATCAACATCATCAACATCATCAGCATAAGCAAAAGGATCATAATCAGCTTCATGATCACCATCACTAACGTCAGCGTCGGCATTAGCAAGAGCATCATCAGCAGCTGCATCATCCTTATCCTCATCATCATCCTCAACCTCATCAATCATCAGCATCATCATCAGCAGCATCAGCATCATCACCACAACCACCCTCATCAGCATCATCATCATCATCATCATCATCAGCAGCAGCAGCAGCATCAGCATTAGCATCAGTAGCATTATCATCATCAGCATCATCATGATCATCATCATCAGCAGCATCATCATAATCATCATCATAATCAGCACCATCATCATCATCATCATCATCATCAGCATCAGCATCATCATCATCATCATCATCATCATCATCATCATCATCATCATCATCATCATCCCAATCCTCATCCCCGTACCCATCCCAATGCCCGTCCCCGTCCCCATCCCCATCCCCATCCCCTCCTCTGCCGGACCCTTCCTCGCCCTCCCCCTCCTCCACCTGTTACTCAACCTCTTTCTCAACCTCTTTCTCCTCCTCCTCCTCCTCCTCCTCCTCCTCCTCCTCTTACCCTCTTCCTCCTACTACTACTCCTCCTCCCTCTTCCTCTTCCCCACCTCTCCTCATTATCCTGCACAGCTCGGCCACCAGAGCGACCAAACGGCCGCGGGCGTTCGACAGTGCGGAGCGCCAGAAGCCGTGTCCCCACCCTCTGTGGGGATCGGCGGGGGCAACTGAGCCTGAGGAGACTTGGGACGAGGTCGAAGACAAGGGCAGGCGGAAGGAGGGAGGGATGGGGCGGGAGTAAGGAGTGAGGGCGGAGGAGAGAGGAAATAGGAGGGAGGAGGCATGAGGGAGGATTCAGAAGGCAGGAAGGGATGGGGCAGGAGTATGGAGTGAGGGCGGAGGAGGGAGGAGGCAGGAGGGCGGAGGCAGGAGGGAGGAATGAGGAGGCGGGGAGGCGCGGTAAGGATGCAAGGGCCTTGGACGCCCATGCCGAGGCTTTTCGAGCGGGACTAGCCATTAAAAGTGGTTGAGGATGGGCCGAAGATGACCGGAGAGGCAGGCAAGGACGTAAGTGTAGCCTTCAGAAGTCGATCATCGTTGCTATGCGGGTTGACTGTAGAGGAGGGAGGGAGGCAGGAGCGCCAAGGACAGCAATTCATGCACGACCCCCTTTGTGTCGCCGAGACAGTGCTCGGTCGACAGAGTCGATGACGTTACAAATGATCGCGTGACCACGATGCGTCCAGTACCTCCCTACCCAGGCCCAACCAGTTTCGACATATCAAATAGCCTAACTTATACGTCTCCCCCGGTGCGCACAAGACGGCACCTAGCACCCTTCTGCAACAACCACCCTGCCCACTCACACCGGATCAAAATAGTCAGAGCTGCCACTCAGCGGCTATGCTACAAAGTCGACTCGTTTGCGCTCACGGGCCCCTCGTGCCCAAGTGCGAGACACGGGAGGCAGCCGGGCAGACACTCCACAATGGAGACGTTGGAAAAATGAGTGGATGAGAGCGGAGACAAGAGTTACAGCAATTTACGCGTTAGGGAAATATGATGAGTATCGTGATGCCAGATAAGGAGACGGAACCGTGTCAAGAACCAGTGGGAAGTGGTAGGAAACAAAAAACGCACTTGCTCATGAGTAGGCAGTGGCTACGAGAAGGAATCGATATTATTGATGTCGTTTCAACCTGGTGGCGTAAGTCATTGCTACTGGGCAGAAGCACAGGAGGAGCCTAGAGGCTGGGAATGCACCAATATGAAGAGCAAGTTATTCGTGCCGCTCCCTCGGTCGCCTAGCCGCCGCGGTGAAGCTGGTTAATTGAATATGGGCATCAGTGGCTTCGGCAGGTTAACATCAAAGTGCACTGAATACCAAATACTGCATTACGAATCAATGAAATAATGCAGCTGTAGAGTCGTTCACGACAACGGGGGTTGCAGCATTGCCGTCACATCTAGGGGGAACTCCATTGAGGGGCTACCCTGTTTGGCCATCTGTGTGCTGTCAAGAAGTCCTCTACGATAGTGGGTTAACCCAGTCAACCAAGTCACTCCGAGGACACCTTTCGACAAATTTGCAGACACGAGAACCGTCGCCCAAAAAAGATCCCCAATAATGTTATGCTAAAGCCCGGACCACTCCATGAAACGGTGCTGCCAAGAGCGTATATATGTAGTAAAATTGGATGTGGCATGTGATCAAAATCTTGCCATCAGTAGTAGACGTATTGGTCGCTGCACGCATAAGCAACAACACCAGCACTACCACATACGACACGCTCCACAGGTCAGGCGAGGCCAGAGCCTGCTGCGACAACAGAGGGGCAATGACTGAAAGGCATCGGCGGCCGCCGTGTGGCGCGCTGCACGCAATACTACTGCTGCAACCCACAGCGATGGCAGGCAGACGAGTTCGGTTAGGTGGGCATGTGCGGACAACGACAAAATCTCGGGGCTGCACTGGTGGGGGGGGGCTTCGCCAACAGCTGCGATATAGTGACATGAGGTTCGGTGATCGTACTGCCAGTGCCAGTGCCCAAGGATCAATGAGGGCGAGGGTGGGAAGAAACACGCGGAGACAGAAGGCCGAAAGTGAGGCCTAAACTAGCAGACGACAGCGACGTCCATCATACGATGCCCCATACTCAGCACACTGTGCCCGTCAGACCATGTCATCACTGCTTGACGTCGCCTGTCTTCCAGCACAGTCGTTCGCCATTCTGCCACTGTCCCTCCTGAGTGAGCACGCAAACAAAAAAGAAAGCATCACGAATGTACGAGGGGCAGGGGGCGAAGCTCAGGGCTGTGTCCGAGATGCAGGATGAAAATAGAAAGGCACAGAAGCGAAGAATGCGGACGAATGGTAGGTCGAGCGGAGAAGGACACGAACTGCAGAAAGGCTGAGGGGGCGCGTGGCAAGACGAGGCTGGAACGGCTGGGCGTCTCAGCGGCGCCCTCTGTGGCAGCGCACATGCTCAATACAAGGTAAAGCGACATTTTCTGACCCATTCTCGAAGTACAGCTGACTGTCGCCACACGGAGCATGAGCAGCCACAATAACCCCTGCGGACACACTGCCCATGGGCCCAGGCCTGTCGCCTACCCTCTGTCGATTCATACATGCTTTGTCCTTCTAGAGTTGCCGAGCTCTGCACGAAAGGGGCAAAGGATCACCCCCCAATCGCTACTCATCGCTAATGAGATGCGAAGGATTACTGCTGGCCTGGCCAGTTTGAACTATGTGTTGTGAAGTGCGCCATGCAAGTGGAGACAAAAGTGCTGGTGATCCGCCACCATGCGTTGCAACATTGTGTTAGAATTCCCCTATGCTGTCTGGTCAAGTTTCTTGTGTGTTTTCTAGGGCCGATCGCATCTCCTCCCCGCGCGCATCGTCCGACAATCGTGCCTCACCTCTGGAGCCGATGTTGGGCCGTCTTTCGAAAGAATTTGGAGATGTTCTGTCTGGCCGAGGAGGGATCGTGGCCGAGAGTGGCATAAACCAACTCAAAGAAGCCAGAGCAGCTGAAAATATCCTACACTGTCACAAACAAAACAAAAAATACTCCAAGGCAGCCGAAATAGCCAATAGACTTCCCAAGACAGCCAAGCTCACCCCAAGACGGTCGAAGGGCCTCTAAGGTCGTCCAAAACTGCCTAATACGGCAGCCAAACACTCCAGGAGGGCCCCACAATGCCCAAATATGGCCTCAAGACGGCCCAAGAGGTCCGGAAGACGGCCCCAGAGGGCTACAGAAGGACCTCCACGAGGCCCTCAAGAGACAAACATCAGGCATGTTCCATCGGCGTTTGACAAAATGTCGGGCTCCCGAAAAAGCCAGACGCAGGAAGGTCTGCAAGAGGTCTCCAAGACGGCACAAGAAGGCCAACAGAGCGCTCCAGAACGGCCCAGGAGGACCCAAGACGGCCCAAGAGAGCCTTCACGGCCAAAAATGCACCCAAGAAAGCCAAAGGGGGTCTCAAGACGACACAAGGCCCCCAAGACGGCCTAAGAGGCCCCAAAACGCCCCAAGAGGGTTCCACGAGGACGTCCAGACCCCCAAAGAAGCCAAAATCATGAATGATCCATTGGAGTTTGAATGCTTTTCGCGTTCACGCCATTTCGGACTTCCAACAACCCGAGACGGCTCCAGAGGCTCCAAGACGGGCCGAGAGGGCCCCAAGACGGTCCAAGATGCCCCCAAGACGGCCCCAAGAGGGCACCAAGACGACCCCAGAGACAACGTACACCTCCTCAAGGGGACCCCAAACCCAAGACAGCCCAGAGAGGCCCCCAGGACGGCCTCCGAGGGCGTCAGACGGGTCAAGCGAGCCCTCAGACTGCCCGAGAGGCTCCCGATACAGCTCAAAAGAGCTCCAAGAGGCCCTCCAGGAGGCCAGAAGAAGCACACATGATTGATTATCCGTGTGGTTTTCAATGTTTGTCACGTTCCCGCCTTTCCGCGCTGCCAACTGTCCAAAACGGCTCGACACTTCAAGAGGCCTTCAAGAAGGCTCCCCAAGATGCCAAGAGGCCCCAAGACGGCCCCAAGAGGGCACCAAGACGGCCCCAGAGACCTCCAAGGCGGCCCGAGATCGGCTCAAGATGATCCCAAGACGGCCCAGAGGCCCCCAAGACGGCCTCCGAAAGCATCAGACGGGCCAAAGGAGCCCTAAGACGGCCCAAGAGCCCCCCAAGAGGCCCTACAGAGGCCCTCCAGGAGGCCCCCGAGAGGCCCCTCAAAGGCACCCAAGGGTCGAGAGAACAACAAGGTCGAGTTTAAAACCCACTCAAGTTCAGGTCCCGCGCTGCATTGCAGCGGGCCTTTCATTCAGCCTCCTTCACGCCGCGCTGCTGCGCTGGCGCAGTATCAGGGTTCGCCGCGTGCAGATAGATAGTTATGTGATCCAGATCCTCCCCCGCCCTCACCCGCTCCAGTCTGGCCTATCAGAAATCGGTTTGTGCCATCCCCTTCGAGAACGAGGCTGACACGGAGCAGAGAACGGAGAAGGAGAGAGAGAGAGAGGGAGGGTGGGTGGAGGAAAAAGGAGGGAGGGAAGAGGTGTCGAAGGAGGGAGGGAGGGAGGGAGGAAGGGAGGGAGGGAGAGAGGGAGGGCGGAGGAGAAAGGAGCGAGGGAGGAGGTGTCGAAGCACATCCGAGGACCGAGGAGAAGAAGTGTGCAGACCCCGACGCACGGCGCAGGTTCTCGAAGATCCCGTGCCTGGTCGTCGCGATTCAGTGTACAAATTCCATCTGCCGTCCTGCTGCCTGACCCAGGACACCCCGAACCACAGGGCCGCTCGAGGGCACCCTCCCCCAGGATGCACAAGAGCATTCAACAGAAGAACGAAGAACATGACGGCACTCTCCCAGAGGCAACCTCGATCTCATACCTCGGTCCGACCTCAATCTTCCTCCGCGCTCTGCCCTGTCACTCGGCGGTGGACAAACCTCCTTAGCAAGCCTCCCCTTAGTGAAAACGGCCTGGGACCGAAACCGACGGACCTGGACCCGCCAAAATGACGCCCGCGACGCCACCTCGCGAACCGAAAACGGCCAATTCGCTAATCGTGTCAGGGTAGGAGGTCTATCCACCTCCGAGTCACACGTTCACAACGCTCGTGCTCCTCCGTGCCCAGAGAGGCGCGCCGTCGGAGAGGAGGAAGGATCCCTGGTCTGACCCTTGGCGGTCGTGTACTTTCCGGTGCCGTGCTGCTTGCCGTCCTGAGGCGGAAACGAAAGGAGGATGTCGTGGAGGAGACGGGGGGGAGGGGGAAAAACAGGCCACCGTGGGAGAGCGCAGCTCGCCCCGAAGCATGAACAGCGCCATGGGGGGGGGGGCCATCGACGAGGAGCCTCTCGATTGACGGCCCCGATGCTTCAGTGGGACGTACGACTAGAAACACACAAGCACATGGGCCACAATCTGCTCTGCCGAAGAATGCAAGCCAAGGCGGGTGGGAAGCCTAGATCGCCTGCTTCAGCTCCGCTTCCAACATCCCCGGGGTAAGGGGGGGGGCATCTCTCCACCCACACACCCCCGCCCCCTGGGGTCGGTCCTGACTTCGGGCACCAGGCAGTGAACAAAAGCCTCCTGATTCGACCCTTTGGCCGAAGACGCCGGTACGCTTTTCTGGGCGTCGCGGCCACGTGCGCAGCGATGCAGCGCCGGCAGGCAGCCGGAAGGCCCGGGAGCGTGCAGCACCAGGAGGGGAGCACAGGGCTCACCCCCCCTGAGGGGCTTCCCCGCGCGGGGGTCTCACGGAGGGGGGCAGCCGAGAGAGAGGGGGGTGGCCACAGATGGTGCCGGCCAGGGGCAGACAAGCAAGGGAGGGATGCCAGATCATGTCTTGCAAGACTAGACCATACACACAGCACCCAGCACCAAACCAGGTCACGCAAGAGCCTATCAAACCAGACGGGACCACACAGGACCGAGCAGGACCAGACAATGCGGTGTACTAAGCTCCCCCCCTTCTGAATGTGCATCACACGATATGGGATCATCTGAAGGGGATGAAGAGGTAAGTGTCAAGGTACAGGTGGCAAACTACTCCTCCTGTCTATATCCTCTCCATCGTATCGTATGCCACCGCCTCCTGTTGCTCCTCTTACATTCCCTCTTCTCATCTGGTTAATAATACTCCTTCCCAAATATCTGCTTCACGTCCCGCCCCTCGTGATCCTCTTTACCATCCCTCTCGTCTTCATTTCTCCATCCTCCTTCCAATGCGTAAATTATGATGCTCTCCCTCCTCATCCTTCTCACAGCGGAGTAAAACCTTTCCGGCTCGGGGGGGGGTCACGCCAAGAAGGCCGGAGGTGAAGAGGGAGAAGGGGCAGATCCTCGAAGAGGTACCCCACGCAAAAGGAGGAGGAGGACGAAGTAGGAGGCATACTTACCTAACCCCTATCTGCGGATAATAAACCCTAAGGGATAATAAAGTCCGGGGTTTTCGGGGGCATAATAAAAGTTGCCCGCCAGAGCCAGCATAAGGAGATATCGAGAGGAAAGAGCCGAAGATATCTTGAGGATTGTTTCGGTTGAGACATCCTCAGCGAATTGCTTGTTTCGCTTGAGACATCCTCGAAATATTTGTCTGTTTCGCTTGAGACATCTTCAAAATATTGCTTATTTCGCTTGAGACATCCGTGAGGGAGGAGGAGGAGAAAGAGCAAGAGGAGGAGAGGAGAAGGAGGTAGCAACAATCCAAAGTTTAAAACTTATTAGATGTAATGTGTAAACGCTTGATGAAAATTAAACTGTTCATCTGCTTGTGTAGGGTAGCTCACGTGCCTCATTTTCCCAGGATGATCAACCCCAGCGATAAACAAGTTCAGGGCGCCAGGGGGAGGAGGAGGAGAAAGAGATAGAGAGACAGAGAGAGAGAGAGAGAGACAGAGAAAGAAAGAAAGAGAGACAGAAAGAACTACAAAGAGACAGAAGGACATCGGTTTCGCTTGAGACATCCTTGAGGGAGGAGGAGGAGAAAGAGCACGAGGAGGAGAGGAGAAGGAGATAGCAAAAAACCAAAGTTTAAAACTTATTATATTTAATGTGTAAACGCTTGAAGAAAAATTAAAATGTTCATCTGCTTGTGTAGGGTAGCTCACGTGCCTCATTTTCCCAGGATGATCAACCCCAGCGATAAACAAGTTCAGGGCGCCAGAGGGAGGAGGAGGAGAAAGAGATAGAGAGACAGAGAGAGAGAGAGACAGAGAAAGAAAGAAAGAAAGAGAGACAGAAATAACTACAAAAAGACAGAAGGACATTGGTTTTGCTTGAGACATCCTGAAACAACGTGTTCGCTTCGCTTGATGTTGTTATCTCAACATAAGAAGGAAGTAACCTCGATGGCGAACTTTTCCCGTGATAATGCAGTTCGGCCTCCGCGCCCCCGCGCCCCCGACCAAACTCTTATTGGTCGACGATAAAGAAAACTAACGACTTAAGGGGGGGTACATTATTATCCTGGGCATGGGGTTATACGACCACCCTTCGTGTGATAAGGAGGTTGAGGGGAAAGGAAAAACCAACTGACGAGAACTTCGATGACTTTGGTGGCGACGAGACAGCGATGATGCAGGATGATTCTGACGGTGAAAATGCAGAATGGCGATTATAATGAAGGAGACAAAGCCGCGACCCACGCAGGACGCTATCGATATCCCGATCGAACTCACATCGATATCACTATCCATCTCACTGTCGATCTCACAATCGGTCTCCCCACAGATCTCACGTAGATTTACTTGTGCTATCTTCCTATTCTCACACCACGCCACGCCACTTCTCCTTTCCCGCTTCACACATCTTGCGATGGCTGGCACAGGCACGCGAGCGCCAGGAACACCGGTACGAGGAGTTCTCGAGCGCGATGTCCGCCAACGGTTATTTAGCCCGCTCCACGAGATGGATGGGCAGGATGACCTCGGATCTCCTCCCCGGCCGGAGGTCCATCAGATCTCTTCGCCGGTGCCCCCTACCACTCCCGCAGAAGCTCACGCAGCACCACAACCTCATCTATCTCCAACTTTACAACACATCGCCGCAATTATCCGCCAGGAAGTTCAGCCGATCAACGCCACCATCGAAAACCTCGACAAGCGGCTGCAGGAAATGAGTAGTAAGGTGGACGGCAGGTTCGGGGAGGTCGAGAGCCGCATAGAGGGCACCGACACCCGCATCACAAACTTGGAGAGCATGTATGACCACACTGGCGGTTCCGCGTCATCCCCACGCAGCGTAAACGCAGACGTCTGGGACCACATCAAGGCGCTGCAGGTGGAGATCGAGCAGCTGAAGGGCACCACCCCGGACACAGACAAGAGCCAGGACAGGGAGGTGACCGCTGTGATCGGGGGCCTGCAGGCCCTTGCGGGGGAGGAGGAAGCCCAGACCTGGTTGACGAAGAAACTCTGGGACTCATGGGCCCCCCAACCCGAGGAAGTGTACATCAAGGGGGAGTTCCAGGGCCTGGTTTTCGCAAAGTTCTCGGACAAAACCGGGCGGGACTCGGCAATCCAGTTGATCCGTAAATCACACTTCAAGGAAGGTGGGAACAAGGTTTGGGCCAAGCCTGACATGGAACTGCCGACGCGTGTCATCAATTCTTTTGTTTTCGGGGCGAAGCACATCATGAAGGAGTGGGGGTACCCTAACAACAGCATCTGGGCAGATCCGGCCGAGGGCACGGTCTGGGTTGGCGGCGAAATTGCGATCCAGGTGTCTATCGTGAAGGGCATCTTGAAAGTCGGTTATGGCGAAGGGTGGGAAGCATGGTTGCTGCAAGACGGCTTTCCGCAGTTTCCAGACATGGTGAAGAAGCTCTCCGAGAAAATCCAGAAGTATTCCTCCAAGGACACGGCTAAAGGAGGCGCGAAAGGAAAAGGCAAACTTAAAGGGAAAGGTGGTGGCTCAGGTCGCCACTAGGGGTGCCGGCGGAGTGCGAGCAAGATTGTTTCACCTTCATGTGGCCCAGGGGATTGCAGGCGTCCTTCCGACAGTCCACTTGGCGCACAGAGCCAGCGTGACGGTGCACAGCATGGCGAAGCTAAGCTGTCATTGATTGCTGCGCGGGGCGGCTGTTTGCGCCCGGCACATAACGAATTTACATTTGCATCGTGGAACGTCGAGTGCTACACGGAGTCCAAACAGGCAGAACTAGAGTTGATCATGCAGGAAAGGGGCATCATTATATTGGGCATACAAGAAACGTGGACATCCAGATCACATGTTTTCCTGACAGACACAGGGTACCTAGTCATACTATCGGGCGGTCCGGAGAACTCCACAGAGAAAGATGGCGTGGGTTTCATCGTCGCGCCTCGCGTGAGGCAGTCCGTCGTCGGCTTCTGCCAGGCGTCGTCCCGCATGGCTTCCATCAAGATCAGGATTCTGGCGGAAAGGCTGTATTATTTTCGGCATACGCACCACACAGTGGCAAACCATACCAAGAGCGGCAAGACTTTTTCACAGACCTTGGCGACTTTGTCGCGAAGACCTCGGCCCACGGCCCCAAGATCGTGATTGGAGACTTCAACGCGCGCTTGCACGAGCAACTGGGTGACGAGCAGGACATCGTTGGTCCGCATATCTTCAAGCACCCGCGTCACACCGTGAAGGCCGATGCGAACAGATACCTCTTGGTAGAAATCTGCGCCCGGTTGAAGATGTGCATTGCTAACACGTTCTTTCCTGGCACCCAGGAGTCGCTTGCCACGAGCTACAACGTCGGGTGCCCGATGGGGTGCGACGTGACCCCGGACACGCATTCACAGATAGATTTTTGCATGTGCGAACAAGATTGGCTTCCTAGGCTTAGCTTTCTTCGATCGTGCCGGGAGGCGCCGTTGTCTTCTCATCATTTCTTGCTTTCAGGTCAAACGAGAATGGTAGTGCCAAAGCCGGCCGTGCCGCATAAGAATCCGAAGTTGGACGTTGAGCAACTCGGCGAGGAAGGCGTACGCCAACGATTTGCACAACATCTTTCGAGGTCTCTTGAGGACATTAACGAGGGCGGGGACGCCGGCTCCGATGTCGACCTCTCGTGGTGCCAACTAGTAGATGCTTTTGAACGCGCAGCTGCCTACTCCTTGCCTGAGAAACCTAAGACCGCCCGACGGCCGTGGATCTCGGGGAGCACGCTGCAGCTCATTGCCCGGCGAAATGATGCCAGGCAGCGCGGGGATTGCATTGCGGAAAAGAACCTTGCGAAGTCCATCCGCCAGCACGTCGCCAAGGACCGCACGGTGTGGCTGGAAAAGCTCAACGCCGACGGCAAGTGGGGTGAAATACGGAAGCTCCGGAAAAGATTTTGCCCTTGCCAAGGTCGACTGCGCGATTCTGAAGGACAACTCGTCGACAGCGAACGCCGGGCAGAGACGCTGACAGATCACCTTGAGAAAAAGCAATGGGCTGTCCGGCCAACCACAACAATGCAGAACGTTGAGCACATCAACGAGGAGCTTCCAGTCCGCATGGGGCCTATCACTGAAGACGAGGTCCGAGCCGCAGCGAAACGCCTACGCAATGGCAAGGCAGCAGGGATGGACGATCTACCGCCTGAGTTTTGGAAGGCAGCGACGGACCAGGGAGAAACTGCATTGTCATGGATTACGAAATTTTGCAACCTGGTGTGGAGCACCTCAAGAGTGCCCGATTCGTGGCACAAGGCGAAGGTCACATTAATTTACAAGAAAGGAGACCCAGCATCCTGCGACAACTACCGCCCAATATGTTTGTTGCCGATCGGCTACAAAATGTTCGCCATGATCCTTTTGAGCAGGCTGAAGAAGGCTGGAGCCGAGAATCACATATGGAGGACGCAATTCGGTTTTCGTTCTGGCCGGGGCACCGCTGATGCGATCTTTATCGCAAGGAGAGTTTTGAAAGATGCATGGGCGACAAAGGACGGGGCTGCCTTGTTCCTCGCGCTCGACTGGGCGAAAACATTCGATTCGGTGTCGCCCGAAGCGCTCGCAGTCTCACTCCGGCGGTTTGGATGCCCGTCGCATTTCGTCAGCGTTGTGTCTGCTATTTATCAGGGTCGGAAGTTCGTCGTGACCGACCGCGGAGAGACATCCCACGAACATGTACAAAACTATGGTGTATGTCAAGGCTGCCCACTGTCACCATTTCTCTTCACCATTGTGATGACTACCCTTCTCACCGACGCGCACGCTATGCACCGAACACGGGTAGGCCAAGTTCCAACGGAAAAGTTTGTGCGGGAACTAGTGTATGCTGACGACACGCTCCTGATTGACAGTGACCCGGATATCATCGAGGACCTCATGAAGTGCATAGAGATATGTGGAAGTCACTATGGGCTATCGTTCAACCTACAGAAAATAGAGATGCTGAAGGTGAAGACGGCGGCGGACGTTCGGGACAGCAGCGGTGAGTTGGTAACTTGCAAGGATTCTCTTGTGTATCTCGGTACCCGTCTGTCCGCCGACGGAAGGAGCGGAACAGAATTGAGCAACAGGATTGGCGCACCGGGCAAACTTCGATATGGTCCCACTCTTCTCTTCCTCGGAGGAAGAAAGTCAAGATCTTCGAATCGTGTGTGGTGCCCAGACTATTATACGGCGTGTTTGCCGCCTGCCTGAACAAGACGGAGCGGAGGAGGCTAGACAGTTTTCAAGCACGTTGCCTGCGAAAAATATTAGGAGTTTCGCCGGCATATTACAGCAGAGTGTCAAATGCAACCGTGTTGGCAATGTCAGGCCGGAGGCCTATCAGCGAGACCGTCATCAAGAGGCAGATGCTCTTCATGGGCCAACTTGCGCGACGTCCTGACAACGACCCTGTCCGGCAATCTGTTTTCCAGCCAGGTGGCATAGATCTTCGGCCCCCGTCCGGACCTCGGCGACGAGGGCGCCCCAGGCAAGCGTGGGGAAGCATGGTTTTTCGAAATTGTCTTGAAGTCGCTGGTTCCCTCGACGCGCTGTCTGCATACTTTCACCCCTCAGGTGGGGCGGCAGCATCGTGGGAGTCGGCAGTGAGATCTTGGTGCCCGAACACAGGGTAGCACCGCAACTTGACATCGCGGTGCCATGTTTCACCTTGCTCGCGCGCCGTCTGGCGCTAGGCTTCTCGCTCGCTCGCTCGCACAGATCTCACTATCGATCTCACTATTGATCTCACTTCGATCTAACTATCGATTTCACTGTCGATCTCACTATCGATCTCACTGTCGCGCCACCGACGGGGCACCGCCCGCCGCCGACGGGGTACCGATCTCACAATCGGTCTCACGACCGATCTCACTATCGATCTCACTATCGATCTCACTATCGATCTCACTATCGATCTCACTGTCGCGCCACCGACGGGGCACCCCCGCCACCGTCGGGGCACCCCCGCACCAACTACGGGGCACCCCCGCACCACCGGCGCAGCACCCCCGCACAAGCGACAAAGCACCCCCCCACCATCGGCGGGGCATCCCGGGCCACCGCGCGCCTGGGGGCGGGGCGGTCAAACGGCTCCACGGCCCCTAGCCACGGCGGCATCGTTCCTGTCGCGCGCTCACGCAGCTTCGCCTCGCCCGCACGCACGACACGAACACGAAACCGAAACCCATTTCCCGGTGAGGGGCTCTCCGTTCCACTGGGATCTCACCCCAACCTCCGACGAGGAAGGGGAGGAATAGGAGATCCGCCCTCCCCCTAGAGCCCCCAGCAAGATCCTGAGTGTCCTCCTGACAAGGGGCGTAGCACTGGTCTCTGGACAGGCTGGTGGGGCTCACGGGTCGAAAAAAATTGCACATGCACACCATATGTGAGAACGATGCAGGGTTCACAGCTTCGCGTGCCGAAGGCAGACAAAAGAAAGCTCTTGTGCGCGTTGCATGCTAGTTGTGATTGCTTGGCCTGCGGATTCTTCTTCTTTGCTCGTCAAAACACCAAAACACACCTACCACCGCGAGCGATCGTCAACTGGCTACGATAGAGAGCAGTGCTCTTAGCTGAAGTGTCAAAAAGTCCAGCAAGCCGCCCTTTCCAGCACATGGACGCCCAGCCACCAACCGCCTACTCCGGCAAGCGGGATGGCGACCGAGGTGCACCCACAACACGCGCACATTATGTTGACGGAAGGTGACCTAATAGAATTGCCTAGGGGAAGCGACAAGGAGCAGCAGCAGCCGAGGCAGCAGCATCGTAGGATAGAGAATGGAAGGGGGAAATAGGGGATGGAGGATGGGGACGAGGAAGACTAGGGGCAGGAGGAGCAACAGGATAGTCAGGAGAAGTGGCAGCTGGCAAGGCACATGCAGCGGCGGCGGTGCGAACATGGCAACTTGCCCCTGGGCGCTCCTTCCACTGACCCACGTACTTGCGGCCGTCGGGCCATGTGAACGTCCCTTCGCCCTCCTTGCAGGCGCCAAATGCTAATGTTTGGTAAGCCCACTGTACTTTGTCATCCTTGCTGCGCAAAGCTCAAATATCATCTTCAGTCCACCCTTTCTTTCCACACCTCCCTTTCCCCGCACACCAAAAAGAACGCCCACATGAAAATCAAGCAAACGAAGGGAGAGAAACACCAGAAGAGAGAAGGGGAAGGGAAAGCGAAGGGGATAGCAAGGCAGGCTCAGACGTAATAAGTTGGTCGGGTTTATGATACTGCACATGCGTAGTGCACGTGCTGCTTCACCTTATGCTTCACTCTGTCTCTCTCTCTTTCTCTCCCTCTCTCTCTCACTCTCTCTCTCTTTTGCAGCAGGCGCGCACTCCTGCAAAGAGGGGGGTGTTTCCCTCCAGCTGCCTCAACCCTCCGGGAGCGAGGTAGGGACCACAGTGGGGCCACCCGTGCGGCATCAACTACAGCAAGGCCACTCACGCGGCCACCAGAAGGGCCAGAGTGAGGCCACCAGCACGATCACAGCCGTCAGGTGGGAACACACTGGGGCCACCCGCAGGCCCACGAGTGGGGCCACCGTGGGGCCAGAGTGCACCGTGTGGCCCGGCAGCGGAAGCAAATACGACCCCCCCACACCAAAACAAGAAGTGGCCCTGGTGTGCCCTTGTTGGCATCCCGCTGGCGGCCCAGACTCGTCCTCCCTCTTATCCTCGCCCCTTCCTCCCTCATCCTCCTCGTCCTCCCCCTCCTCTTCCTCCTCCTCTTCCTCCTCCTCCTCTTCCTCCTCCCCCTCGTCCCTCCTACCCCTCCACCTGGTCATACTCCTCCCCGTGCTCCTCGTTCTCATCCTCATCCTGACCCCCGTCCTGCAACCTCCCTCATCATTCAAACAACATTCATAGACATCGCTTGGATAGTCTGATACGGATTTGTTTGTTGGTCGCGGGCGCGGGCGAGAGAGCAAACGGCGAGTCGTAAGTCCGGGGCGCGGGCCTACTAATTGACAACAAAAGCAAACTAGAGCCGCACACGTAAACTGCCTAAGCTGCCTAAGCGGCGCCTGAGTGTGGATGCCAGGGCCAGGGGCAGAAAGCGCCCACACAGCGTCCATGCAAGCATGGCGGTGGCTGCCACGGTGGCTGCACTGCCAGGGATGCACGCAAGCAGCGAGCTGCAGGGGGAGGCGGACTGCCAGGGTGGCTGGCTGCTAATGTCTGCAAGCTGCGATGTGAATTGTAGGCAGGGGTGTAACCACCCACGGGACTGCAAGAGTACCGAGGAGGCCAGCCAAGTGGGCCGACGACACGAAATGAATTGGATACGAGTGAACTGGACAGCAAAAGCTGCGGCGCGGCCAGAATGGCGCGTGGGGGCACCGCGATGTGACCAGGGTGGGCACCTCAGAGCGACCCAAGATGCCTGCCAAGGCCTGGCAGGTGCGAGTGGTGGCGCCAACAAAATCGCACACCCGAGCCCCGGACAGAGGGGGGGCGCAGTCCGCGGTCGACACACCAGGGGCGGCGACAAACGCGAACAGACGGCGGGAGGGTGGACACCGACACTGCAACCGAAATCGCGGACGCAGCGCGGTGGAACCACGGGAGTGCCTAGGCTGAACCACAGGCGCCCGTAGCCTCCACCGTAAAGGGAGGCGAAACCGCGAATTGCGCGGGATGGAGAGGCCAGGGCAGGTGGGAACTAACATCACCGAGCCGGCGTGGGAACCGAGGGCCCAGCCGCGGGGGGGCCGCCCCGGCACGGGAGGGCGCCCGGGGGCGCGGGGGAGTGACGCGCCAGCCGACCTGAGACGGCAGGAGGGCGGACGCCGACACTGCAGCCGAAGTCGCGGACCAGCGTGGTCGAGCCACGGAGGGAGGCCCAGGCTGAACCACAGGCGCCCGTGGCCCCCACCCTCGGGGGAAGTAGCGCACTTCAGGTCTGTCCAGCGCAAGCAGGGTAGCGAGCCCCCAGCAGCCTCGGCTGAAAGAAACGGCGGCCTCACCTGCTGTCCTAGGTGACTGAACTATATACTGTCGGGAGCATGGAGCCTGCGCCTGGGTGGTGGGCTGGGATGCAGTCGCAGTCGCATGCCGCCTGTTGCGCTGTACCGCGTCCGCGCGATGGCCAGGCTGCGCGTCGCTGCTCCACGCGTCTCGAAGGTGCACTTCACTGCTGCCATGGCGACGTGTGGGGAGCCTGCTCGCGCCCAGCACGCTGCGGCGCGGGCTTGACTCTGCTGCCTTCTGCCAGGGGTGGGGAAATGTGAGCGATTAGCCAGGGCTGTGATCATCGCAACAGACGCGAGACCAGAGACGGCTGAAGGTCGTCTCAGAGAGCGCAGAGGGAGGGGGGAGGGGGAGGAGCCAGGGAACGGCTGATGGCCGTCAGCGTCCAAGTTACCGCTGCTGTCGACGGCGCCAAAGGGAGCGCGTAGCTGTGGCGACGAAGAGCGCGCGGCACTTCTCCGCGGAGTTGTAGCGCTGCCAAATCCTAGGCCTGCTGTTGGCAGGTCCACTTTCCGAACGGCACCTGTAGTCAGCTGGGCCAACTGGAAGGCGTGGACGTAGCCGGGACGGGACGCTGCATGGTTAGAGCCAGGGCGGTCGGACCACATGCAATCGCCAGGCGCGCACGGCTGATGGCCGCCTCATCCCTTCCAAGTAGAGAGAGGGTGGGGGGGAGACAGAGAGAGAGCGAGAGAGAGAGAGAGAGAGAGAGAGAGAGTGAGAGAGAGAAAGAGAGAGGAAGAAACAAAAGAGAGAGAGAGAGAGAGAGAGAGAGAGAGAGAGAGAGAGAGAGAGGAACAACAAAAAAAAAGACAGAGAGAGAGAGAGAGAAATATAAAGAGAAGAGAAAGAGAAATAGAAAATAAAGAGAAAGAGGAAGAGAGAGAGATAACACACATGAATATATATGTATAACGAACAATACAAAGAGAGAGCAACACTGTAGAAACAAAAACAAGAAACTATAGAAACAAAAAAGAATTAAAGAGAGAGAGAGAGAGAGAGAGAGAGAGAGAGAGAGAGAGAGAGAGAGAGAGAGAGAGCGCCAAGGAACGGCTGATGACCGTCGAAGCAATGCACGCCGAAGACCGCGAGCGCCCCTGGGCCAGGTGGCCGCGAAAGGCCAGCTGCCGACCACAATTGTCTGCACTGCTGGGAGGGACAGGGAGCCCTCTGGGGCGCCAATCTCTGTTGCCCCATTGGTGCAGGAGAAACACTGACAGTGGCGACGAGCACGGCTGCTGGCCAGGCTGCCTTGACAGCGCGTGCCGGCGAGAGTATTCACCCGGACGCTGTCAGCAGCCCCCGGGCTGCGGCGAGGCGATAGCCACCTGGCGAGACAAGACCGGCGCTGGGGGGGCGAGCGCGCCCTGCGAGCCTGAAATTGGCCGCAGGTGTCGGCGCGGCAGACGCGCGCCTTTGCACCCGCATCTAAACAGTCTAGGCTGTCTAGCTATAGTGCGCCGCAGAAACTCGGCTGCACGTAAGAGTGACCCCGGGCAAGAGCGGCCTTTGGTGCGCGGCTTTTTGGGGAGCGCGAGGAGGCCAAGCACAAGCGCGAAAGACGCTACTATCGCACCGAGCGCGGCGATCGGAGGACCCCAGCGAGCGCGCGCCAAAGGTCACGGCGGGTGGGGGGCGGCCGCCTGCCCCAGCGATTGGCTGCCCCCCAGTATTATGACCAGCAGGCCAGGGCGCAGCGGGGCGAGACGGGCCCAGGAGCGGGCCGGCACTCGCGGGGCCAAGGGGAGCTAGGCGAGCCGCGAGGCAAGGAGCGGCCGGTCGCAAAGCCGGGGAGTCGCCAGCGGCGCGGCCCAGCCGCCCCCAGAGAGGGGCGGCGGACTGCGGAGAGGCAGGACAGCGGAGCGGGGAGGTGGGAAGCGGTCAAGGGAGGGAGCGAACTAGGAAGCCAGGTACGGCTGATGGCCAGTTTGTCGGGGATGTCCATGCCAGGGACGGCGACCGGCCGTTCTGTCAGAATCGTAGAGCCAGGGCCAGCTGGTGGCCGTTTTGTCGGTGTAACTGCCAGGGGCGGCTGACGGCCGTTGTGTCAATATCGTAGGAGCCCGGGGCGGCTGACCTCCTTCCGGATTGGAAGTGGGAGGAGGAACCAAGTAAGAAGAATAGAGCACACTGCTGCGCGTAGCACAGCGACGATGCCAGGATGGAATAAGCGATCTGGGAGCCCGCGTGCCAGGGAGACCCGCGCAGCGGCGAGCGGCGTCGACTTACGACCACCAGCGGCCCCTCTTTTCGGGGTCGCGCTGGCCCTCCCGCTGAGGAGACCGCCCGCGACCACCTTTCCATTCAGAATCACCCCACTTGGGCCAGTCTTCGCGCCAGGAGGACCACCCTTGCCATCCACGCCACTCGCCACTGCCGGGCTGTCAGTTGACCTGGAGGCCTGGGCGCCCTTCCCTTGCGATCCGGCGCCCTTCCGGACGTGGTCGCGGCGGATGGGGCCCCAGTCAACCCCAAGTTTATGGGCCCTGTCCATTTCGTACGCGTCAAAGCCGGCACGCCTCCAGGCGCCCAGGAAGCCCTCGCAGGTTTCTTCGGTACTCAGCAGAGGGTCACTTTTGTATCCACCTGTTCCCTGCGAAGCACGCTTGGCCCACGCATGCCATATACCGTTGAAGACGTCTCCGAACGTCCTTTGCAGCCGAGCAATCGTGGCCGCCGTCTCTTCAGTCTTGTCCAGCCAGGCGTCGGCTAGGGAGCGTCAGTACATTGGGCCGCCAGAGACTGGGTCCTTCAGGTGCCCGAAGACCATGTGATCGGAGCTGCCACCTTCCTTGGTTACAGACGCACTGGTTTCCACCTGGGCGTTCTCGGAGCTCGCTGTCCCTTTTCGCTGGCAGTATCCCCCGTAGCGTGCCGCGTGCGCTCTTGCCTCCAGGGGGGTAGGTTGCTCCCAGTGGCATTCCCGGCGTCCTCCTTGGGGCCGGGTCTGTCGCTCTGCTCGGCACTCTCCTTCTGGTCACTGCGTGGTCCTTGAAAGATGC